CTCCCACGACTAGTTAGTTTAAAGGAGATTGCCCTCATTGTAAAGAGCAGAGATTGGAATTGAGTAAAGAGTTCATCTTGTGAAAAGATCTTTTAGGGTAGAATCCCTTGCAGACTTTGAGTGAGGGAAAGCCACCTAGCCGCCCTATCAGAAGAGGTTTTAATAGATGTGAGCTCCACCTCTCACGCTGGTTTGTTAGGCCATTCTTCCTCAGATGTTCATTCGTAATGGAGAGTCTGGAACTACTGGTCTTTATCGAAGAAATGTCCTTTTGATGGTTCATTTAATCTGATTCAAGCTTCAAGCTAGGAGCCCACCTTTGTCACCCTTTATTTTTATTTTTATTTTTATTTTCGTAATTTCTTTCCTCATCTTCCCTACATCAGTTGGTATCATAGCAAGTAAGATCTAGCCAGAGCAATTAAGATCCAGCTAAGCTAATATTGTTATGGATGATCAACTGGGACAAGTTTTATAAAACTTGACCAAAGTCATGGAGGATGTTCGAACCGAAGGCCATGAACTGAATCAACAGTTACATTGGTTGGAGCATAATGTTCATCATGAAGAAGGGTGCTTGCAACCACATCGATCTTGCACCAGTAGTCTCATAACAAACCCCAAGGTACAAATCTTGATCATAACAAATAATTTTACAAGAAAGATCTGCATCCTATAGAGCGTTCACGAGATTTCAGTATTAAAGTCGATCTCCCAGAATTTCATGGTTCAGAGTGTTCATCGATTGCATATGATGCTTCTTTGAAGTTGGGCCCATTCTTGAATTACGAATAATCAGTCCAAGCTCGTATTCAACAATTGCTCTTAGAACAAACTTGTGAACCTTCTAGTCCTTGAGGCACTAGTTGGCGTAGGCCATTCATACACAAACAAAAGTGAAGATTTACAAGTGCTTGGGGATCGTATCACTCCAGAGGACTCGCACACTTTCCTCTTGAATTGGTTTAAAAAGTTTCCCAGCTTCAAGTCCCACGATTTCTACATTACTGGAGAATGCTACACAAGTCATTATTTACCTCAGGTGGCTGAGCTCATATACAATGGCAACAAGCACGTAGCCAAGGAGTCTTACATCAATCTTAAAGAAAACATTGAAGAAAAAATGACGAGTCGCATGGTGGGACTATGACTACATCACCAATTAGTCGATTCGCTTCAAGCTCAAGGTCGAGCTTCTCCCAACCTTGGGAGAATGGTGCAGAAATAAATTAGAAAATTTTACATTTTAGTATTATTATTATTATTAATATTTATTTTTTTAAGAATATGAATGGTGTTAGCATATGTTAAATAAGAGGAGGGAGGATTTTGGGGAATAGATTAGAATTAATTTTATAAGAAAAATTTGGGAGGGGATAAAGAATCCCGTGAGAGCAAATAGGGAGATAGGTGTGAGAGAGGAAATAGGGAGACATACATGAGAGAGAAAAAGAGATAAGGGAAAGGTATGCAACCTTTAAAGAGAGTGGGAAAGTTTATTTTTTTGTGGCTTTTTTTTCTTCTTTCTTCTAAGTGTATTTAAAGGGAAGATGTCCCTTATTGT